CTGTACTTGAGCGGAAATAGAAACAAATAGATGGAAATATCATTTACATCACTCATGAAAATTGAACTTTCGATTACTGACCGGGATAGCTGTATTTGATGTTTATTTTGATGTAATCTGTCCACAATTGCCGTTCTCAATTGTTATGAGATTGCTGCTGTGGACCAATGGGTGACAGATTGTTGTGGTTCACCGGGTTTCTTGACACAGGCAACTGACTTTTACTATTTTGACGTGTTTCTGGTCAGACACTGACATGAAAATATACGGTCCGTACATAGTCAACACGTGACTCGGAATCCTGGGCGTATGTTGTATACCAGTCAGACACGGATAAGAAGTATACGGTCCATGACATAGTCAAAAATCCCAGCAAGGCCCTAAAGTAGTGTCATCGTACGTCATCATTCATTTTTACTCTTCTGACGTTTTCCTGGTCGTATTGTGTATATACCACTCAAACACGGGTGAGTGAGTAATGAACCGGTCCGGGGCATAGTCAAAATGGGACTCAGAATCACAGGTAGGCCCTAAACGTAGCCTCATCCCACAGCATTAATTAACAAAATTAATTAGCATTATAATATTAGCTTCCGAACAATTCCGATATTTATGCTGGAAAATACAGTACTGGGAACTGACCAGTAAACAATGTTGTTAAATCGGTAAGAAAAAAATACTGTGGACCCCCCATGCGATACATAAAATACAAAATAAATGTCAGTGAATACAATATTTATTTTAGAAAATCATGCAGCCAATATGGACAGTTGACAATTTGTGATATTTCTAAATCGCAAATTGTGAACTTTAAATCTCATTTATTAGGATTTCCGCATGAAGTTACACAGATGCATCATTATGTAAATATTGAAAAGAATATTGATTTCTATTGTCTAGGTTGTATAATGAATTCTCAAATTAATAATTTATTCCATTGTTGAGAATGAGTTATACATTTGTTTTATACTATAATTTCTTATCTATATAATAAAATTGTTCTGGGGATTAATAATTTCAATAAATAATATCCAATTGTCCTCCTGCAAAACCATTACTTTCACTAAACAGTATAAAAAGAACGTATGGTGAAAAGCCCATCCTATAAATGGTCATAGATTCTTGGTCTAGTGGCATAATCAGAGCAGGAGTCTTATTTAGGAATTCTTGCCAGAGCAACTGCACAAATCGTTATTGGAAAATTAACAGCTCCCAAGGATGGTATTCCCAGAAAAGCACCAGTTGTTAAAGACACATAAAACTTTAATTCTTAACAACGATGAAAGGACCAGTTACTGCGACAAAGTCCTACTCCCTGCGAAAGTTACCTGCTACAAAATCCACATACCGCAAAAGCCACTCATCGCGAAGGTAGTATTGTCACAGTATTTTATTATTCTAATCTTATCATTACATTATATAATTAGTGCATTCTGAACATTTCTGATTCTAGTCGCCAAAAGGACGCCACCAACAGCAATATATCAGTTGGATAATTCTCCGAGGTATTAGTACAAATAATTGCCGGATAAACACATTTCAGTGCGTTGCAGCATTCTTAAATAAATGATGCTTTGAGTTAAGTGGGGGAGAAGAAATATTAATTTTCAATGAGCTTATCAGAACTGGACGCCATCATGTGTTGTACTTTTCCTGCATTTCTACTATCTAGAGTCCCTTTATATAGAGATTTACGACATGAAGACGCAGAAAAATACGGACACGTGACTCGTGCAGTCTTTTTGGAGCCAAATTTGTTTTAGCTTGTTTTTCTAGTCCGTGTGTTCACGTATTTGGGCAAAATGTCGGATGTTTGTGCATTTGGTCAAATAGACATGTCAGGTGGTTTTCCTCAGACTCAAACAGAAGTAAAATTGAGATGTACCAAATGACATTCGTTCCAAGTCGATTCGTCTTAAAAGTTTATTCGCCCCACGTCATTTCGTCCCACACGTTTATTCGTCCCAAGTCGATTCGCCTACAAGTCGATTCGTCCAACAAGTTTATTCGTCCCAAAGTCGATTCATACCACAAGTCGATTCGTCCCACAAGTCTATTCCATCAATATTGAGATTAACCTTCCAGTCACCTAACTGTCTATCATGGTCGATTAAACCAAGAAATGCATCCGTGGCGTCTTCCTGAATTACTGCTTGCACATTTTACTACCCTGTGGTAATATACACAGCACTGCCAAGTGTCCACAAACTCCACACTTTCTACAGTCTCCATTACAAGCTTGGCACTGTTGGCGTTCATGTAGGATTTTAGGAGAATAATAATAAATATTATTATACATCTGCCACCGTAACGCCATAGGTTACAGCGTGCCGTTATTTTGCAGTATTTTACGGGGTATTTTCATCCTACCCTATTATGGAGTGCGAATTTCAACAGCAATTATTATGCGCGTAAGCTTCCTCCAATAATAAAAACTAACATGGCTGCCACCAGGATTTGACCGGACTTCACACAAAGGAATTCGCTGATTCTGTTCTAAACTTCTTAGATTCAGGCATTCCCATGATGTATCATTGGAAGGAAAATATGGGTAATAATAAAGCTATTATGAGGATACCTCAAAGTATGGAGTCATACAGTACGCCGTCGCATCGACC